ACATCGTGAGCCCGAGAGATATGGTTTTCTCGTGACTCAACATGGTGATGTACTGGTCTACCAAGACAATGAACCCAAAACCTATGATGAATGTGTATTGGATCCAGATTCCGTTAAATGGCTTAAAGCCATAAAATCTGAGCTAGACTCCATGTACCATAATCAGTCATGGTTTCTGGTGAATTCACCTAAAGGGGTAAAACCCATAGGGTGTAAATGAGTCTTCAAGAGGAAGACTGACATGGATGGCAAGGTGCATACTTATAAGGCACGACTGGTTGCCAAAGGTTTCAAATAAATTCATGGTATTGACTATGAAGAAAACTTTTGACGGTTGCCATGATTAAATCCATCCGGATTATGCTTGAGATTGCTGCATATCATGATTATGAGATTTGGCAAATGGATGTCAATGATGCTTTTTTGAATGAAAACCTTGAAAAGGATGTGTATATGGCACATCCCGATGGTTTCGTTCTTGATGGACAAGCTAAAAGGATATGCAAGTTGCAGAGGTCCATTTATGGACTCAAGCAAGCTTCAAGGAGCTGGAACATTCGTTTCGATGAAGCCATATAATACTTTGGTTTCATCAAGAATGAAGATGAGACCTTTGTTTACAAAAGGGTGAGTGAGAGCGTAGTGGCATTCCTAGTGTTGTATGTTGATGACATACTTCTGATCGGGAATGATATACCAAACTTGCAGTCGGTAAACACTTGGTTATCCAAGTGATTCTCCATGAAGGACTTAGGAGAAGCAGCTTACATTCTCGGACTAAAGATCTATCGTAATAGATCAGGAAGTTTGCTTAGCCCAAGTTGAAGTACATAGACAAGGTATTGAAAAGATTCAGTGTGGAAGAATCCAAGAAAAGATCTCTTCCGGTGGCACATAGTGTCTATCTCTCTAAGGATATGTATTCTAAACCACACATTGAGGGAGATAGAATGAAGATGATCCCATATGCTTCAGCAAGTGGATCCATCTTGTATGCTCAGATTGATGTCTCATGTGCATCAAGCATTTGTAAGGGATATCAATTGGATCCAAGAGAGCGATATTGTGATTACATGCTTGGACTGATATCTTATGTGCATTAAACACTTGCAGAAGATATCAATAGGATCTTAGTGAGCAATGTGTTATGTACTTAGATTGATGTCTTATGTGCATTCAGCACTTGTAGAAGATATCAATCAGCTCCAAGTGAGTGACACTGGATAAGTGTCAATGGACATCCTTAAATACCTAAAAAGGGGCTAAGGATATGATCTTGGATTATGGAGGGGAAGATGAGCTCACTGTAAGAAGATACAGTGATGCTAATCTCTAAAGAGATAAAGATGATTTTCGCTCGCAATCTAGGTTTATATTTTATCTCAATAGAGCTGTAGTGAGCTATAAGAGCTCGAAGTTAAGTACTGTAGTGGATTCTACAATTAATGCTAAGTATAACGCATTGTTTAATGCAGCTGTATAGGCGGTTTGGATCAAGAAGTCCATTACTGAATTTGATGTGGTTCCAAGCATTGTTGATCCAGTAAAGTTCTACTGCGATAACAATGGAGCCATTGTTGTGGTTGAGGAATCACGGTCTCATCAATAATCCAAATACTTACTTAGTCGATTCAATCTGATCTAAGAAGTCAATCAAAGAATGTGCAGATTTGCAGAGTACCTACTGACCCACTGTTGAAGTTTCTATTGGAGCAGAAGCATGATGACCACTTGGGTCATTCGATGTTAAATACATGAATGATTGGCTATAATGCAAGTGGGAGATTGTTAGAGTAGGTGCCCTAGAGCCAATCAATTATTGTAAGATTGACTCTATAATAAATGTTTATTTATCAATAAAAGGCATATTCTTTTATATCGTGTAAATTATAGTTATATGTAATGATATATGTCCTTAGGATGGTAGAACCGTGACGAGGTTATCAAGTGTTTCAAATCTTGATAGTGAGAACCCTATGATCACATATGGTGGCCATTCTAGAAAAGTCCAACCCTAGTATTATTCTTACCAAGGACACAGATAATACAGTAAAGCTATCATAGCGTTGAACGACCCTGTCGAAAGGCAGTGACTAATCTCACTTGTCAAGGTTGTTTGCCGACAACTTGGTGCAACGCATGGGTTCTTCTTAGAGACAAGTTCACTGGACAGAACCACCAGAGGATTCCATATGGATGGTAACCCCAGTGTCTATGGAATAAATCCTCTAACGGATGGTGGTGCATGTGATCCTTAGACTTGAGATCACCAAAGCGCCTTGTGCACCAATTGGTGTAGTTTTACACTAGCCCAACGTAGTTCTATTCAGAGTTATCAATACAGTAGTGATTGGCTACATTGAGAAGTGTATTGAGACTATGGTGGATCGATAAATGATTCATCACTCCTGGGTATGGGAGAAGTTATCTCACTAGGTAATTCAGTAAATGGCAATGACACTAAATCTGTGGCCACAGTGGGATTAAGTTGATGCTCAATCCAATTTATCATTCCAGTCATTGGTCTATTAACTGAATATAAACATGTTGAGGATATCTGAGGTTGACACTATTTATGTACCTCAGTCTCGATAAGATAACAGATGATGAAAGGATTAGATTGCATGACAACCATACCGTTGATAGACTACGATTTTGCTGAATCAGAATCTATCGGGTGGCCATGATGCCTTGCTAGGGGCCAATCTTGGTCTGTGTGTAGTGGGACAATTAATTAGTGTTAATCGCGATACTACACACTGCCGATATTATAAGGAGCCTACGGGTCACACACTTAGAAGATAATTTAAGAATCAGTTTGTGAGAAGAGTATTTTCGTCTTTCAGGACGAAAAAGTTTTTGGTAATCTCACAATGCAATTAAATTTGTTGAGGTTGTTGCCTGTATTTAATTTTAATTTTAAAATTAAATTAGAGAGATTATATTTAAATATATCTATGTATATATTTAAATGAATTAAATGTTAATATATTATTATATATTAATTGATTTTAATTATAATAATAATAATTAATTAAAATGCCATAAAGGGGGTGTTTGGTTGCAATGGTGAATTAGGGTTGGAGCCCCTGTCTATTCCTAAGTAGAATAGGGTTTTAATTGTTGCACTATATAAGTGCAACTTAAAATTAAAACAAAGAGGAGTATTATTCAATAATCAAAAACCCTAGCCACCCTATCTCTCTCTCTCTCTCTCACATTACACTCTTGAGTGAAGAAGAAAATTTTTCTTATTCTTCCTTCTTGATTCTTAAAGCTCTTGATTGTTCTAGCAAAATAATGAAGGGTTCTGCAGATTATCTTCTTGTGGACTTCCATGAGTGTAATCCTACATTGGATCGATTAGCGAAGAATCACGTGAACAGTGTCAGTGAACAGTGTTCGTGTTTGAAGTCAGAGATATTCGGAGGAGCCTTGATAAGTTGCATAAATTTAGTGTTTTTAGGTTTGTTTTTGTAGCCTTCTAGTTAATTTTTCATTTGTTTTCTATGTTTTGATGTTAGTTTTTGTTAAGTTTGAAATATGAATGGTCAGCTATTGATTTGGAGAATTTTTGTAATTTTTAGGAGTTAATTGAGTAGATTGGAGCATTGGAATGAAATTGGAATTCAAAGCTTGAAGAAATTGAGATTAGCTGACAAGTTTGAAGGCCATGGCCTTGCCTTGGTGGTTCACCATGGCCGTGGTGGTTGAATGAAGATAAAATAACGAGGAGAGAAAACACCATGGCCTAGGCTGTGGTGACGTACATTTGGACACGACCAGGGCCGTGTCAGACACTTTTAGGGTTTTTATTAATTTTTCTTTCCTTTTTCACTGAGGACTCTTTTGGGTATTCAAGGTTTATTAAGATTATTCCTTAGGAGGCCGAATTTTACCCATTCTTGGAGAGAGATTATTGGGTAACAAAAGAGCAAGGAGAATCAAGAACAAAATTCATCATAGAGTTTGTTTTTACTTTTTCAATATGATTTATTTCTTGGATTCTACTATTGTTTCTTTTATTATGAACTAATTTTCTTAGGCTAAGAATAGGGTTAGTCTATTTATGGATCTGTGATCAATCTTTTACTCTTTGATCAGTGAATTATTTTTCTAATGATGAGTCTATATTATGTGCTTAATGCTATTAAGAACTTGATCAATTTCTGATAGAATTGTTTTGTGTGATTGAGACCGAGAGGAGATATCACATGAGTGCTCTAGTAATATAGGCCATGGATTAATTGAATATAGAGATATATGAATTGATACATGCAATAGTCATAGGCAGGATTAACTTGTGCTGAAAGCTAGAGGATTTCATAAAGCTTAATGCTCGTCTATTTCATTAAATCTATATAGAGATATCTAGGTTGTGAAATAGAAGTAGAATTAATATTGCTTGAGAAAGAATATTGGTTAACCTAGGAAATCCCGTTGTCACATTAATTAAATAAATTCATTGACCATAGTAAATTGAGGGGTGCAGAGAAGTTATAGATGAGCCTGAAGTCTTAGCCGTTTTCTCTCATTGAATTCTTAATTTTAGTTTTACTGCAATTTGTTTCCAATCTTCCAGATTTTAATATTTTTAGTTTTAAAGATCACCATTCTAAATTTTGATTATCTAGATAAAGTTAAGACTAATTAATAATTCAGTACTTGTTTACGCAATCCTTTGGGTATGATAACCTATATTTTGTTATACTATATTATTTGAGACTAGTACACTTGCTAGTAGTTGTTGCAAACGACACAACAAGTTTTTGGCGCCGTTGCCGGGGATTGCAGTTAGGCAATATTGAAATCATTAGTTTAGCTTTACTTTAGATCTTGTTCCATTTTTTTTTTTATATATATAATTTTTTTTCAAGTTCTCTTGTTTTCAGATTTTCCAGTGCATGACACACACTAGACGAAGATTAGAGATTCTTGAACCTTTTGATCCATAAATTGAGAGAAAAATACGAGCATTGAGAAGAAGGCAAACAAGGAATATGACAGACAACAATAATAATCAAGAGGATCCTTTACTTTTGGAGAATCTCGAAGACGGTGCAGCCCGATGTTCTTTAATGGATTATGCAATGCTGTCATTGAGAGGCACTGCTTCTAGAATTAGGAGGCCAACCATTGCAGCAAATAACTTTGAGATTAAATCTACGATCATTCAGATGATTCAGTCAGCCTGCCAATTCAGTGGTTTAGCCCACGAGGATCCAAATGCTCACATTGGAAATTTCTTGGAGATATGTGATACATTCAAGCAGAATGGTGTCACAGACGATGCAATTAGATTGAGTCTGTTTCCTTTTTCATTAAGAGATAAAGCCAAGAATTGGCTAAATTCTTTGCCTGCAGAATCTATTACAACTTGGGATACATTGGCTCAGCGCTTTCTAGCTAAATATTTTCCTCCCTCTAAAACTATAAGGATGTGTAATGATATCACTAATTTTATGCAGGTAGATGGAGAGTTGTTATATGAAGCATGGGAGCGTTATAGAGAGTTGTTGAGGAAATGCCTGCATCATGGATTACCAATTTGGTTACAGGTACAAACTTTTTATAATGGTTTAATTCCTGCTAACCTTTCTATGATTGATGCAGCTTCAGGAGGCACTATAATGAAGAAGACACCAAAAGCAGCGTATGAATTATTGGATGAGATGGCTTCAAACAGCTACCAATGGTAGTCAGATAAAGTGCCACAAAGGAAAGTAGCAGGATTATATGGAGTGGATGCAATCACAACAATTTTTGCTCAATTGGAACCATTGAACAAAAAGATTGATAATATGAGTGCCCCAATCATGCAAGTGAAGAGCATGAGTTGTGATCTATGTGGAGGAGACCATCTTAGCAATGAATGTCAGGTAGGTAACCTTTTTGCTCATTCTACTGAAAGTGCTAATTATGTTGGTAATTTTCACAAGCAACAACAGGATCATCCCTACTCCAGTACTTACAACCTTGGTTGGCAGAATCACCCAAATTTTTCATGGAGCAATCAAAATGCAGTGAAACCACCACCTCCAGGTTTTCCTCAAGAAAAGAAGCCCAATTTGGAGGAACTAGTGACGAAGTTTGTAAGCTCCACTGAAGCAAGATTTCAGAATCAAGAAGCTTCGATCAGAAATTTGGAGACTTAGATGGGGCAGTTCGCAAATTTAATATCAGGGAGAGCTCAAGGAACATTGCCTAGTGACACAGAGAAGAATCCAAAGGAGCATGTGAAGGCAATTACACTAAGGTGTGGCAAAGAAATTGGGCATAAAGAGCAGGAGAAAGAGGAAACATCGAAAGTGAAACCATACAACATTGCTGAAAAGTTGTTTGAACCTAAGAAGATAATGATTCAGCCTCCTTTCCCTCTTGCATTGAAGAAGCAGAAAGTTGATTAGGAATTTGCAATTACACATTAATATTCCATTTGCAGATGCTCTTCTTCAAATGCCTAGCTATGCAAAGTTCTTGAAGGAAATCCTTTCTAACAAGAGAAACTGGAAGAACAAGAAATAGTAAAACTCACTAAAGAATATTCAGCAATTTTGCAAAATAAATTGCCACCAAAATTAAAAGATCCAAGGAGTTTTACAATACCTTGCATTATTGGTTCACTTTCATCTTCCAAAGATTTATGTGATTTAGGTGCTAGCATTAATCTAATGCCTTTATCTATTTTCAGGAAATTGGGACTTGGAGAACCAAGGGCCACCACAGTATCTCTACAGCTGGCTGACAGATCAATTAAATATCCAAGAGGTATTGTGGAGGACATGCTTGTCAAGGTAGATAAGTTTATTTTTCCTGCAGATTTTCTTGTGTTGGATATGGAAGAAGATGTTGAGATACCTCTCATTCTTGGATGACCATTTTTAGCCACAGGTTGGGCATTGATTGATGTGCAAAGAGGTGAGCTAATTCTTAGGGTAGGAGATGAAAAAGTAACATTTGATGTTAAAATTATGAAACACCCTTTAGAAGATAACATGTGCTTTAGAGTCGATGCTTTTGATCCCTTGGTTCATGAGTATTTTCAAGATAATAGGTATGAAGGTCCATTGGAAAACTTGCTTGGTTGATTCAAAAGAAGATGGAGGGGAGAATAAGCACTTAATTGAGATTGTAGCAAATTTGGAGGCCAATCGACCTTATAAAAGGGTCACGTTAAAGGATAAAAAGCTTGCAAAGTCCAACGTTCACCACAGGGTACCCCGTGTCAGTTTACACAACCGTGGCTTCCAAAAAAAAAAAAAAAAACCTAAAGTCTAGCATCACAAGTGTCAATGACTGCCTGCTCATTCGTGGAGCCACATTTGACTGCTTTATGAGCCCAAATTCCTAGTAGTTTTGTCCTCTCACTTCAGAGAAGTTTCTATCTCTCATTTTTCAGTATTTTTGTTTTTATTCTCTTTGTTTTTCATGCACTGAGGACATTGCATCCTTTAAGTTTGGGGGAGTGGGCGGTTTGGTTTGTGTTGCATCGTTGATGGTTTATTTCTTTTGTTTGGTGTGTTTGTTCTTAGGAAGTGTTTAGTATATTTGTGTATTTTTTTTTGGTTTGTATTTTGTATTTGTTGCATGATGGGTAGTATGCTTATACTTTTGATACAATCCCAAACGAAACTTTGTGATATCCCCAAGGAAAAAATTTGTTTTTTGTGATGAACTTGGTAATCACTTGGAGTAGTGGTAGTATCAAGTCATTGAAAGGCTTCAAACATGCTCATATCTTTAAGGATGCTGAAAAGTATGCAATTCTAGATGGTTGTGCAAATTATGGTTTATCACTTGATTTTGTTGTGTATTAGCTGAGCCTTTGTCTTCACTTCCTACTTAAAAAAAAAAAAAAAAAAAAAAAAAGTGCATATACAGTCTTGAAATAAATTAACTATGCTTATTTGTTTATTTTTGAATAAACTACTCCGCTGTTTCGAGCTACTTAGTAACCAAGAGTATTCATGAGACCCATGTTTACTTTTGTGTCAAACCGTAGCTAGAATTATGAGTATATAAAGAAACTTTATGTGTTGTGACATTATTGAGTAACCGAGGGCATTTATCACAAATGTGTGCATTCGCGTAAAAAGGTGATGTGACAATCTAAAGAAGCCTATGAAAAAAAAAAAAAAGAGGAAAATGAGCAGGGTGTAACGCCCCACTTGAGGTATGTGGTAGATTATGTTGTATGTTTGAATGTTTATTGCTTTGTTCTCATTTGAGCTTGTATGTCGTTATTTTCAGTTGGTTGGCCCTTAGTTGGTTTGGTTGAGTGTTTGCCCTGATTTTGGTTGAGTTTTGGTGAAGTTTGGAATTTCGGTCTTCGTTGCGGTGACGTTGGTTATGTAATTGCAGTGTCGACTCTGTAAGTTTTTGCCAGGGTGACGGATCTGTCTTCGCCGCAGCGACGGGTCGGATGAAAAGTTTATTGAGGTTTTTAGAGAACTTTTCCATAGGGGAAAAATGACCTTTCTACCCTTAGTTAGCAGGAAAAGTGGGGAGTAAAATGTAAGAGAATTTTATGGAGAATATGTTAGAGTGGGGGTGTGATTGTAATGATTGAAAGGACAAAGATGGAATTTTAAAGAAAGAGCAAAGGCAATATGGGAATGAATGAATATATTTTGAGCTAAAAAGGGTTGAAGCTTAGTGAACTCTTCATTCATTCTTCTTCCACCGCCATACTCTTTCACCATTTCCTCTCAACTCTTCCACCATTTCCTCTCAACTCTTCCTTCCATCTTTCAAGGATCTTTGAGGGCTTTTAGTTAGGTCTTGGTAGAACACTAATCTAAGGCATCCTAAGGTAAGAATCCTTGCTTTAGATGTGAAGTTTTGCATATATTTGTACACTGAAGTCTTATGGTTTTATTGTTTAAAGGGTAGAGAATAGACAAGCAATCTAAAGGAAAGGAAAGTCCTAGTAAGATTTCTCAATTACAAGGTAAGAAAATCCCAATCCAAGTTGATATTTGAGAAATCCTTTGAGTAGAGATTTATTTATGCATGATATATGTTATGTTATTGAGAAATTGGGTTGAGATGAGTATTTATTTTATGGTTGTTGAATACACTTCATTGATGAGAAGTGTTAATATGTGATGAGAGGATGTAGTTTGAGATGAAGTTGGGAAGATTGAGTAAGTTCTTTAGGAGTGTTCTTTTATGACAAGAATTATAGTTATGTGAGGGAGTTTCCTCCCATTTTGGATGGTTCAAGAAAGGGATAGAACTATAGATAAAGTAGAGTGTATGTATGCACACTAGTTGTTTGATGAAATGCCTAAGAGAATCATGAGTAGTAAACCTTAATTCTTGCAACATTGCATGTTGGCATTTCATGAGTGCATTAGTGGAGAAGAACCATCCATATGTATTAATTGTGCATTGAGAAAGAGTAGAGAACTTTGTGTATGAACTACTCTAAGAGTAGAGAGAATGAGAAAAACACGAAAAACGGGTTGGTGCTTTGTGATCTCCACCCGATAGTTATGAAAAACGGGTTGGTGCTTTGTGATCTCCACCTGAAAGTCACCAGGAGTGGGTTGGTGCTGTGTGAACTCCACCCGGCCATGCCTCCAATAAGATGAGGCCGTGACATATAGCAGAAGTTAAGAAAGAGAGCTGTGTGAAAGAGAAAATAAACGAGATGAGAAAACGTGTAAGGAAAGAATTAAGAGAAAGAGTTACGGGGACAGTCGAGTAGAGGATTTACTTACTGGGCATTGTTTTGTGCTCACCCCGTTGTTTTCTTTGTGGTTGTAGGATCTAGGTGAGAACGTAATCGGATGGGCGTCGGCAAGCGAGGAGCAATAGCTACACTGTCCACCTTTTTAATATCATTTTGTAAATGATATTCTGTTTTGTATAAATAATGTTTATATGTAATAAAAGAAAATTTTGGGCCTATTTACTTTTGCTAATATAAATATATTCTACTTGATATATTTCTATGAGTATCCTAGTATAAAGTAGTCATTACATTTTTGGTATCAGAGCAAAGATTTTGGGATTTGACAGTGTACTATTCTCATCGCTACGATGTCCGATAACCGATTGTGTGAGTTAATTCTTTCCTTACTATAAGTGTTTCTCGAATTGATAAAATACTATTAGAGGACTGAGTTCATGAGAAGGTCCAAGAATTTATTAGCTTGCAGCAGGAGTCTAGTACAGGGAAGGAGTACTTAGTGAAATTTAACTCCTTTGCAAGGTTTGCACCTGGAATAGTTAGTACTCCGGCATTAAGAAGAGATAAGTTTGTACATGGGTTGAAGTCGGAGATAACTCGAGATATAATGACGAGTTCTGATCCCCCTCGAACTTATAGTGAGGCCTTGAGGCAAGCAATAAGGGTGGAAATCTTCGAGAACAAAATTCCCTTAGTAGATTCCTCGATAGGAGGACCAAGTGAGCCACCCTCCGCCCCGCAGAGAGAGAAATTTGAGGGTGTGAAAGGTAAAGAAATGAAGAATCAGAAGAAGAAGTTTCAATTTAGACAGAACAGAAGAGAGTGGAAGAATAAGCGACCCCGAACGGAAGGGTTTCCTCTTTGCCCTAAATGTGGGAGGAACCACTTAAGAGAGTGTCTGAGGGACCAGAGGGTGTGTTTTAGCTACCGACAACCAGGGCACTTGATGAGAGATTGTAAATCTTCTCTTCCACCACCCGCACAGAGTTCTGGAGGTACTACGAATGCCAGAGTGTTTACAGTGGCATAGGGTGAAGCAGAAGCTAGTCCATTAGCCGTTACTGGTCAGTTATTATTCCATTATGTTCCTTTATATGCCTTAATTGATTCAGGAGCCACTCATTCTTTTATATCGTAAGGGATGATTAAGAGGTTAGGTTTGAAACCTACTAGAGTGACTCAACCCATTAAGATAAAGTTACCCGATGGGGTTAGTGTTCTAATGCAAGAGATATTGTCAGGAGAGTCTGTAGTGATGCAGGGTAGAGATTTAACAGTTGATCTAATAGTTTTTGATATGCCCGACTTTGATGTGATATTGGGCATGGATTTCCTAGGGAGATATGGGGTAGAGATTGAATGTCGGAAGAAGAAAGCGAGATTTAATCTCGATAATGGAGATAAGTTTAGTTTTGGAGAGGATCATTAGTTGAGTATGTTAATTAGCAGTGTAAAGGC